TTTTTTTTTTTTTTTTAGTAGGAAAGCAAAAGGCAGCGAGGTTGATATATTTAATTGACCGGCTGGGATCCTCTTTTACTGTGCATTTCGAGCTCGGATTAACTACATCTGCGAAGCCATGGCGAAGGGACTCAGATCGAGCGTCAAGAAGCACAACAAGGCCCTGTTGCGCGAGAAAGTCTTTGGGCCGGTAGCAGATGCGAGAACAGAGCGCCTCTCTGCTAAACTGCAAGAGCTCGCAGGGACCTCCAAGAGGGATGCGGACATGACAGATGCAGACCCGAGTAATGCAGGTGTGTAGCCCTGATATGGAATATGGACGCTGCCAGGGGCTATATTGTCGATACTAACAGGCTGGTCTCCTAGATGCTGCCGCAGAGAAGTCCAAAACTGATATAGTGAAAGGTAACGACTGCCCAAGTCAACATCGTATATACTCTTCACTTTTCTTTCACTTTTGCCCCAGTCTCAGTGGCCATCAGACTACATTTGCAACCTGCTCTAATACTAGATAACTACGATAGATGACGAGCCCACCCCTCTCAAGATCGAGGGCGGACTTTCTCGCAAGACCGGCCGAGTGGAAAAGCGCACACGCAGAAAACCGCGTAACACCATAACGTTTGCTCCTCACCCGGGGAAAGTGAAGAGGCTCAATGGGAACAAGAAGCGATGATGTGTTATGATCTTCCAGCTGAACGTTTGTACTGTCTGATTTCAGTTTAGACTGCGGACGGATCTATTGTCACTATTGCATCTCGACATAAAAAAGGGATTAGGAGTTAAGCGGAGTTCTAATGGCTATTGATACGGGATTTTCTTTTGGTCTTTTCTTCTGTCTAACTAACGACTATATAAGACGAGTGATAAGACGTTGGTCTTCATAGACTCTATACGCTGCTAATTTGACCTTCTAAACAACCCGATCTTCCGACCTGTTAGCCAACGTAGAATCCGCCATCTCCTTTAGTCAATTGATCCATGGCGCAAAAATACTTTAGTTAGTTGCTTCAGCTATCGCTAATCAGAATTGCGGGTGCAGGCACGAACGGCTCTTTTTTTTTTTTTTTTTTCTTCCTTATCTTATCGCAACCTCAAGACCTTGAGGGAAGACGAAGGCATCAAAGGCAAAAGGCGTAAACACAACAACATCTACCACGACGAAGATGATGGAGACGATATAGACAGCGAGTAGGAGACCACGGCGGAGGAGTTATGGTTCTTAGTTAATGACACTCGTTTAGACAGCCTCTCTTTCAAGGATGCGCTTCATCACTTCCAATGCGGCCACGCTGGTCTCCTTTATTCTCTTTCCCCTGGCACTGCTCCTCTTCGCCAGCGGGTTCTTCCCGTACAAGCCATTCATACCAGGACTGGCAACTTTCGATGAAAGTGAATATAGCAGTCGGCCATCCCCCGTCTTTGACCGGGTCATCTTCATGGTGGTAGATGCATTGCGAAGGTGGCTTAACCCTCCTGTTGTCTTTTGCATATTTCCCGCGCCAGCTAACCCCCATGTACAGCGACTTTGTGTATGGAAACCACTCCGGATTCCAATTCACCCAAAAGTCAGTAAAGATGAATATCCTATGCCCCAGAAGGGCATTATCAAATCGGGCCATTCTAATTTGTGGGTAGATTGATCAAGTCTGGCGCAGCAGTACCGTTTACCGCTCATGCAAGCTCGCCGACTATCACCATGCCTCGGGTAAAGGCAATTACAACAGGATCTGTCCCATCTTTCGTTGATGTGATCCTTAACTTTGCAGAATCAGATACCACCTCAACTCTTGCTCACCAGGATACCTGGCTAGCCCAGCTGAGAGCTAAGCCGGGCGGTCGACTGGTCATGTACGGAGACGATACGTGGCTGAAGCTGTTTCCTGGCATGTTCTACAGACATGATGGGACTACAAGCTTCTTTGTCTCCGTATGAACATCCAATCTTCCCTTCTTGTTGGATCAATATCAACTGACCCTGAACAAAGGATTTTACTGAAGTCGACAACAATGTCACCCGGCATATACCTGAGGAAATGGGTAATGCTGACTGGAATGCCATGATAATGCATTATCTAGGCCTTGACCATATTGGCCACAAAGCCGGCCCTAGAAGGTGAGCTAATGAAACTCTCATATGGACTAAATATATATGATAAAGGGAACCTAACTTTGTGGCAGTCCCCATATGATACCCAAGCAGAAGGAGATGGATTCCATAGTCAAACAAATATACAGTTCCATGGAAAAGGAGGCCCAATTGTCTTCCGCACTTCTTGTTCTATGCGGTGACCACGGTATGAACGACGGTGGTAATCATGGTGGTGCATCGGCAGGAGAGACCTCCCCGGCTCTTACCTTCATATCCCCTAAATTTCAAGACATGGGACTTGTAAAGGCGCCCCTCAAGCCTTCGCCCGGGGAATTCGATTTCTACGACATAATAGACCAATCAGATATAGCTCCTACCCTGGGTGGTCTGCTCGGCTTTCCAGTTCCCCTGAACAACCTTGGAGTTTTTATCCCCCAGTTTCTCCCGCTATGGAAAAAAGGTTCGTTTCTCAAATTGCTTCGTCTTTGTCTATCGTAGTCAGAAATAAAGGCTAATACGACATCACAGGCGAGGAACGGCTACAGCTTCTCCAAGAAAATGCTCGACAGATCATAAAAATCGTCAAGCAAACATATCCAGGCTACAGGTTCGACTCTACTACTGCCCAGTTGACCCATTGTGACGGCAGTCCAAACTCCGAGATAGCAGAACTTGAATGCAAATGGCAGAGGGCACAGCAAATGATTTCTCAGGCTGCTGAGGATACCACTCTCTCCCCGGACATAGAACAACCCCTTATAGACTTCCTACGTACTGCACAAACCATGATGTCTAGCACAGCAAGCAATTACAACCTGTCAAGACTATATCAGGGCATCGCATTCTCGGGGATCGCCTTTCTGCTCTCTCTCTATTCATGCATGCAAAAGGGCCGTAATGGGACTGCAGCTGTGGGATACATGTTCCTAGTCCTTCTCGGATACGGAGCCTTAATGTTTGCAAGTAGCTACGTTGAGGAAGAGCAGCATTTTTGGTACTGGATGGCTTCCGGCTGGATATTCTACCTCTACTGGAAATCGTACGTTAGATCTGGCCTTTCCCTATATTATTATGTTCAATACTAATCGCTTGTTCCGCTAGCTCCAACAACCACAAAGTCAAGTCGGGCTATGTTGGCGCATTTGTGCTTGCCACATTGACACGAATTATGAGACGTTGGAACCAGACTGGTCAAAAGTTCGCGGGAGAACCAGATATTGCCAACACCTTCTTCAGGGACCATCCCAACGTGATGTGGCTACTGATTCTCTTCACATATACTGACCTCTATCAAAGGCTATTGCCAAACACGTCCATAGCGGATCCGACAAATAAGCTATTGTCGCTACTATACCTCCCTCTGACTAGTTTTTCGTTCATATTCAAGGTGGTATTCACAGATGCCGATGCACCAGAGCTTATACGGAATATCCCTTTCCTCCCATTCTTGATCAGAGGTGTGCGAGGACTATCCCTTGTTTTCCAGGCCCGGGTTGTTCTTATAGGAGTCTTGGTATGCTCCCTGTATGCGATATACTTGAGAGCTACCAGAAACAGCAATCGAACTGGTGCAAGAAGAGGTGAATCAAACCCATGAATGTTCCTGCCTGGAATAAAAATATCCGTACTAACATTTTATCAACCAGACATTCGAGGAACCTTTCACACTTTGCTCAGTTTATTCCTCATCACTCAATCTCGAGCAACCAATATACCTCTGTTCGCCCTCTTCCGTATCCAGCAACAAGTTCTCAGCTCCATGTCACTGTCTACCACAGAAATCACTGTCACGTCCCTCCTGTTTCAGTACGCAAGCTTTTTCGCTCTCGGTGGCTCCAATGCTATCTCCTCGGTCGACTTGTCTAATGCCTACAACGGCGTGAGTGGGTATAATGTTGGCGTAGTAGGCATACTGACCTTTATCGGTAACTGGGCTGGTCCTATCTGGTGGGTATCTGCTACTCACCACTTGTTGAGCATTACTCGCTCTGCACGCCAGAACCAGCCAAACAAGCATATCCAGCTCTTGACCTTGTTCATTGCTACGAGCCTGTTAGCTGTGATGATAGCTTGTACTGCCCTTCGAACGCATCTGTTTATATGGACTGTGTTTTCCCCCAAGTTTCTTTACAGCATGGCATGGACGCTGGCTCAACATATCGTCATTAATATTCTATTCGGAGAGCATTTGCTGCGATGGTTATACAATTAGACGTTTTCCCTTTTGATGTGAGAATTTTATTCTTAAGTTTACTTTTCAAGGATATAATATTCTTTATGCGATTTCCCATTGCATATTATAGGCCAGCAAATATATCATCTATCGCATTAACTTTCCGTTTCTTCTTCTTCTTTTTCTCCTTAGAGCTGTCGGCCACGCCCAAGCTGGCAGTCATAGCGGTATCATAGTCAACTTTTCGTTTCATGCTCTCATCAAGACATAACTTTCTGTTTTTCTTCGTTCCGGCTTCACCATCTGTAGACACAGTCGAGTCGACTGTCGTTTTGATATGAGAGCCAACCTCAGACCGTCTGATCACCTCACCAAAATCTTCAGCCACAGTAACGTTACTGGCCGACCTGGGAATGGTCTCCAGGGTCTTCTCATCTCCAAGCTCACGAGCAATATTTGACAGCTCGCCCTTATTAATTTGGACGACCTTGAATACTTCAGCAAGTGTAGCTAGCAGAGTAATCCCTAAGGAACAGAACTGTATGTCTGCAACCACAGTAGAAAACGCCCTGCCCAGAGAAATCAGTCATGAATCAACGTTCAATATGGACGCTGCTCCTCAGTTCGACTAACCTATAACACCGCGGAATGAGCTCATCGTGAAGATACCTCATTATCTTCCACACTGGAGAAAAAGGGTGCTCGTCACTGCCATCTGCACCCAGGACATCCTCGAACTTCTCGATCTTTTCGATTTCACACGCAAGATTCAGCGTCCATCGCCTTAGCATGTTCAGCCATTTCCACCATTTCGTGCAGCGATGCTGATTCTTGTTGTGGTGATAGAGCAGATGCAGGGTTCGGTGGATTGATCGGACGTCACTAGAGGCTGTAAACGGCAATGATTCAGTCAATTGGGCAGACATTTACGCCGGATAGCTGACTTCGTCTTCCTCCTGCTTCCTTTAGCCTCCTCTCATCCCGTCCACCAGCTCTGGCTCGCGGTCGTTTTCAAAGTCAAGTCTGCATAAATTAAAAAGGTCTTCGAGGATATCAAACTCCGAGAAAAAGCAACAAAATCTTCTTAAACGACTTAGTCAGCTCCACTCTATTTACGTTTTATCGAAGTTCGCTTGCAACCTCCTTCAAATACGAGAAGTCAAATAGACGAACTCTTCCTCCTCTCGCCCAACAAGCAGACGAGGAAAAGCTGAAGGATTGAGGCTCAAATGTAGCCTTCCAATTGCAGGTTGATGAAGCATCCCCCGGAGGGTTTCACCCATGTCGAAATATTGGCGGCCGGAGCCCGTAAAGGGGCAACCGCCGACGTTGGTGCCTGGAGCTGTGCCCTGAGACATCCACTCCGCTACATGGATTTGACACCTATAAAAGGAACTCGCCCTTCGGACGAGTTCCTCTTCCTTTTCCCCTTTGAATTATTCAAGGACGCCTCCTTGAATATTATCACTGTTAAAGTGAAGCTAGAAGAAACCATCTATACCAATGGGTTTTACCACTGCGGGCGGCAAACGGGGCCTGGCCTCCAAACGTTCAGCGATTAGTCTGCACGATCAGCAGCCAGTCGAGCCGTACACGGACGAACCCAGTGACGAGCCGCCAGCTTATACAGATGCAATCCCAGGAAGCTCAAGCCAGGTACAAGTTAGTCTCCCTGATCTGTCAACTCCTGGCGCCTATGTCAATCCATACCAAGAGGTTATTGGAAGTCGTGTTGTCAAAACATTTTCAGGACACGAATCATACCTTGTTTCTGTCCATCCTGAATACACGAACACGCCAAGTGCTCTATACAATGCCATATACGACCAAGCTTGTGTGGCTCCTACAGTTCTCATCTCTGTCACGGGAACGCACACAGTCAAGCAGCGGGATGGAAAAAAGGACTCCAGCTCCAAGGTTACAGACTTTGATTTTCGAATCGAGACTCGAGGAACTATATTGCCATTGTCTTCATACGACCTGACTCGACGTCCTTTATTCGATTTCTACCGCGAACTAAACGTCGTGCGAGACAATGACGGACAGTCAGCTTATCGTGGAGGACGGTTTAGGTGCAAATCAAGCAAGAAGTATAAACCCACTGGAGCTGGTGATCTGGAGCAAGCAGTTATGGATGGAGAACAGACCGAGGCCGAGACAAGTCTCGAGAGTATGCTACAGGAATGGTGTACTCGATATTGCGAAGACAAGAGCGGAGTGAAATCGTAAGTAAACGACAATCAAACCGCGGATAAAGTTACCAGTATACTAACCACCCTTTCACAGATTTACGCTACGTAGCACAGTTGAAGAGCTCAATATGGCTATTATCAAAAATGAAATCACCTCCATCATCCGCTCGACAAACTACCGTGGCACTATCTCCGTTAACCAGGTAACAACCCACACGGCACTAACTATCTATTCACCACACTGGATAAACAAGCTCCGAACCAACAGATTCGTCTGGTGGGTAGTTGTCATTCTTCAGCTTTGGATAATGACCTGGCCTATCATCGTCTTGCTTGAGAGACGCTATGAGCCCGTTAAGGCCCAATACTACGTCCGCCGGGATTCAGAGTACAACCCTCCTTTCAAAGGAGAAGTTGAATGGACAAAGCTGTTTGCTCGTGCTATCAGTGCGGCAGCGCTAAATAGAAGGAAGGATGAAATTGTTACCACAGCTGATGTGCAGCGGGCTAATGATGCGGCTCTCAATGGTCGACGGGAGGAATCTGCAGCCGAAAGAGACAGGAGAGCAAGATTGAACAGCGGAAATGGATCGTTTATGGATTCTGTTATTGGCATAGCTAGGGGCGTGTCTGAGCTGAGGAGTGAGTTTGATCATGCTAGAGGTTGGGGTGCAAATGAGTGAGCATGCATCTGGCTGGGTTCACTATCTACGCTGTTTTTGGTAGAAGGGAGTATGATGGTCGTTAGTTTGGCTTCATTAGTTTGATATATTCTTTACGGAGGAAGAGCCATGTCAAAAAGAAGCATACTTGTCTTCGATTTGATCTGAAGCGGCATAAAGTGCGCTTTGTCAACTAAAGTACATCGTGTTTTTCGCAACTTGAAAAGCAAATGCGCCTTTGAGCGATGCCACACCTCCCTTCGCTGCCGTCTGTTGCGCCGTGTTCAAGAACAAGCAAGTAACAACTATAATAACGATGAAACGAAAGAAAAACAAAAACAAACAAACGTCCCTTCTTCGCTCCGTGACATGGTCATGGCCGTGGTCATCGTAAGTCCCATCCTTGACACCACGAAATGTGCAAATTGCAGCGTTGGTGATAATACATGCTTGAGAAGAGAAAAAAAAAAACAAGAAAAAAGAGAGACAATACCAAAGTGAGTTAAATACAGAAGATGAATGAGTGTTAGAAGTTGGAGCATATCGCAAAGGATATCAGTAAAACAGAAGTGCATGACAGAAGGGGATGAAAATGTAGGTGTGTAGGGTATTGAATGCAGGCAGGCAGGCCCAGGATGTCCTGTTTCTGTTCTCCCAAGGTGATGAATGGTCGAGTCAATGGTCCTTTGCAAAAAATTTCAAGGCAATGCAAGACTCAGGAGTAGGAAGAACAAAAAAGGCAAGATTGGAGTCAAAGAAACCTGGTAGTTGAACAGGGCGGCAATAGCCTTGATACCCAAATCTGCAAGGGCGAAGCCAGGCAGATAAATATGTTGAACCAGTGTTTGACGGGGATGCTCCTGTGGATGTGGACGGGTCTGCCCAAGCTCCGTGCTAGCCTGATTTGACCTGTGTTTTCGGGGTATATGGGGTATGTAAGGCAAAGACAGAAAGCGGGGAAGTAGAAGGCAAGATGGAAAAATGGAAAAGATAATACATGTAAAGAAGAAGAAGAAAATGCTAAAAGAGTGGAAAAATTGCCTGAAAGATAATTGAAGATAAGAAGAGGCAAAGAACAAAAAAAACATCGAGATCGACGATGTGTGTCACGTTAGTTGAACCGGAAAAGTTCAAATTCAATGATGGTATGAAAGATGGGTAAGTATGAGGAAGAATTATCCAGAGAGATGGTGATGATGGCGACTGCCACCAGCTGGCTCATACCAAGGACTCATAATGCTGGGACGCATCTGTTCCATACGATCAGAGTGGGCTGGCCAGTCACGAGTCCAGTGAGATTCACGCTCGGCTGCGGTAGTGCCACGGTCGAACTGAGAGCGACGACGACGTTGCTCATCACGGTATTGCTGACCGACTCTGGGAGCGAACAAGCCTGCAAGGAAAGTCAGATACTGCATGAATGTAACGATGGGCAATATATGCATACCGACATGCTCGGCATTTTCAACACTGCGGCGCATCTTGGATGGGTTGTCAGGGCCAGGGAAGTGGTCTTCAGTGCCAGCCATTGGGCCAGTGCCAGTGTGAAAGATCTAGTAGTTGTTAGTGAGACTGTTAAATGAGAGGATATGATATATTGCTGATATGCTTACCTTTGGACGGAATGAGGGATGTTCGAGCATAACAGAACTGTTGCGGAACTTTTGAACAAGGCAGTCTTTTCCTTGAATGGCTGGTACGATGTTAGTATATATACATATGACAAATTAAGAAAGAGAGAACGCTTACTGGCGTAGGAAATCTCAGCAACTTTGTCACTGTTGAAGCAGTTCCTATTGGGAAGATTAGCAACCGTGGGTTGAGCGGATGGATATAAGGATGGAATACCAAGAACGACCAGCACGGGCTTTGGCAAACTGTATGCCGCCGTTAGTAGGTGCTTTTAGTTGGTGACATATAGACGTGGAACTCACATCAATAATGTCAATTGGCTATATGGCAAGTTAGCATCGAGTTTCAGATAGACGCACGACAGGAAGGTGGCTTACATCTTCAAAATTGATGAATGCATAGCCAACGCTATTAGAGGATTAGAAAAAAACTCATGATATGATTATCAGGGGAAGCGTAAACTGACTTGCAGTTGTTGGCAAAATCTATAACAGGTTAGCTGATGTAGACTGAAGACGAAAGGAAAGTAGGCTTCTTACCAATGCGAAGATACATGAAGTCGTATTTGCCATGGCTAGTCTCATCCACGATATCCTTAAGCATAGCTTGATCAATTTTGTTTGGGATGTTGCGGAGCATGATCTGGATGAGCTCAAAAGTTAGACAATGCATTGGGAATGGAAAGAGGAAGACACTAACTGTAGTGCGGACATCAAGACCAAGACGAATGCGTTCAATGTCAACGTGGTTCTGGTTCATGTTGTTATGAGTACTGTTGCGGTTACGTCCAGAGCCATGACGAGAACGGAAGTTGTGGCACTCATCAGATCTGCGGTTCCAAGTTGCAACTGCAGGATCACCAATGGGGATGGTAGAACGGCCAGTTGGGCTGAGCTCCATGTAAGGGTTAGGAGAGGCAAAGCTTCGACGACGAGCCATGGGAATAGTGCGGTCGTGCATGATGATTGGAGAAGTGCGAGGAACAGGCTCTTCAACTGGGTGATGGGCATGCGCATGATAAGTGACATCAGGTTTGAAGTACTTGACATCGATGACGCACTCCTGTGAAATTATGTATGAGTAAAAGAAGACAATAGGTAAAGTAGGGAAAGACGACGTACAGGAAGAGAAGAGCCATTGAGGCCAGAAACGACATTGTCAGCAGCACGAGTATCGCTGAATTCAACATGGAAGTTAACGATGTTGTTGTGATCAGTTGGGATGCTGTGGAAGGCTTTGATTTCACCGTAAGTGGAGAGCAAGGTCTTGAAAGAGTGAGAGATGATACGGCCATCTGTCTCTTCAGGACCACCGTTGTAGTAGACAGTAGCAAATATTTGACCTTCATAGTCGGAAGTGGTTGGGGCAAGCGAAGGTTCAAACTTTTGGGTGAACTCCTTTGCAGTCAAGGCATGGAAGCGCCAACTGGGGAAGAAGGACTTTGCTTTGACGGCAGCCATTTTTGCTTCGTAGATGTCGGTGAAGCCAACGTAGATTCTGCCATGAGAAGCAAGCTCAGACAGGACGGGTCCCTTGACTGTATTGAATTCACGGTGCTAAGAGAGTGTTAGTAGGGAAACAAACAAAGAAAATGAAGAAAGGCAAAACGAGGAGAAAAGATGCAAGAATTTCTTACATTGAAGATTGCAGCAATATCATGGTAAGGCATGTCCACTGGGACACCCTCGATGACAAATGCACGATTTCTGTTCTCAGCATCAAAATGGCCTTGCTGGTAGTACATGGCATAGGGAGCGGGAATGTATTTGGAGCTGGCCGAAGAAGGAGGAGAGACTCTGGCGCCGCCAATTGGACCAAAATCAACAGAGCCACGAGGAGTGAAGGCACTGACAAGGCCGGGAGTATCAGGAACAGAAGTTTTAGTTAGATCAGCAAGATTGGCAGGATTTTGGTCCTGGATGAAGGTAGGAGAAGACATGGGGCCAGACGATGCGTTTCTGTCGAAACTGCCAGGAGTGAAGCTGGATGCAGTGGGAGAAAGCTGAATACGGCCGGAAGAGAAGCCAGGAGGAGGAACAGTAATAAACGGGTTTTGTGCCTCCCTGAGCACCAAGTCAGAAAAATCCGAGCAGAAAGAAGAAACTGAAGAAACCGAGGAGAATGGAGAAGATGAAGGAAAGAAAAGGGGAAAATTGATATATAAAGTGACTTACTGCTGAAATATGGAGCGTCTCAGAGAGGAACGAAGAGGCAACTCAGAGGAAGCGGGAGCAAACTGCTGGGAACGAGAATGCTCTGGAGAAAACGCAGTGAGTCTCGTCTCTGGCGAGCCATTGCGAGAATTAGCCTGCTCGGAAGACCGAGGACTGCTTGCGAGTTTCGACATTTCGTCTTGACTCCTGTCACGAGTCAGGATATAGATATATACGAGGGTATCTTGGTCTGAAGGCCTACCTGGCTGTCAATTGAGCTGGACCGCAGAGCTGAAGATAGGGAGAAACGGAAGAAAAGTGAGAAATGGCGGATAGAGGATAGTTGTGGGTAGAAAATAGCTGAAACGGACGGAGTAGAGATAGCAACAGAGGAACTGGCAGAGGAATTGCGCTGGACAGAGCGACTGAACAGCTGCTGGAGGCGAAGACGAAGATGAGGATGAGGATGAAGAGAAGAAGAAGAAGAAGAAAAAGAGGGCGGAAGAAGGACGAGGAGGAGGTTTAAGTAGACTCGACGGCGGGAGGAGGCTGGGAGGGCGGCGAGCAAAGGCGGAAGCGGACGTCGAACCCCTCTTTTTTCTGCCAGCTGCCAGCCCCTCCTTTTTGAGCAGGAAAGAGGAAGAAGAGGAGGAGAAGAGGAGGAGAAGAGGAGGAGGAGAAGAAGAAGAGAGTGCAGGGAGAGTGCAGGAAGTGTCTGCTTACCAGGCACTGTGTAGGCACAAGGTGCGACAGCTGCTGCACAGGCTGGACTGCCACTGCCAGCATCGGGCGGGCCGATAGTCTGGCTTGTCTGCTAGGAGTTGCTGCTGTCACTCATTAAGTCAGCGAGAAGGAGGGGGAGGAGGAAAAGGAGGAACACAGAAGGGCGGAGACAGGGCATAGACAGCGAGGACGCAGGCAGAAGGCAGTGGAAGCAGAAGAAGACGAAGAGGAAGAGGAAGAGGAAGAAGAAGAAGGAGATGGAGATGGAGATGGAGAAGGAGAAGAGACTTACTTTCTGGGAGTGACAGAGGCCCAGACAGTGACTGTATATTCCAGGGATCTAGTGGCTAGACACACTAGAGAGGATATATGTGTGTCATCTGTTATTATCCATATTAACTATTGGTATATAGAGGATATCAAATATCTAGGATAAGATAGGCACAGCTATATATATCCAAAAGTATACACTTCAAGATATTTACATATCATAAGGTATACTTATATATATTTAAAGCTGTGCAGAGAAAGGAAGAAAGGAAGAAGAAAAGAAGAGAGGTGAAAGGGGTGATATTTTTATAGGGCAAGGAAGAGGTAGACTAAGGCTAGAAAGCCTTGCATCACTTCTAGGGCCAATTCCACCGTATTCACTTCACTTCTTCTTCCTTTTCTGCTTCTTTCTGTTGCTGGCTCTTTGGAGGTATCTGGGTATCTCATTTCCATGACTGGCTCTCATCTGGCATTTGAAAGACACACGGGTCAGTAAAGGGCGGCAGTCACCTTCACTTTTGGCCTATTCTTACTTTTTTTCTTTGCTATCTTCTCCTTATGCTGCTTCTGCTTCTGCTTCTTCTACTCTACTTGTCCATGACTCCAGGCCACTCTGGCCTGCCTGGTATCTCGAGTTCTCTTGTTCATCTCCATCTCTC